GGAAAAAGTTTTTAGCTCACCTGAGCTAAAAGTTCATTTCACTTTCACATTTTGTTTGGCATTCGTCTGTCTGTCCGCCGATCTGGCTGTATAATTTTTACATTTTTTAAATGTAGAAATATGAAAAAAGGAGAATCTATGTATTGTTATGCTCCCGTTATCGAAGATTCAGGGGTATATATAGAGGGCCTAGTTTTCCGATGCCCTGTCCGTCCGTCTGTTTGTCTGTCTGCCCGCAAAACTTTAACCTTGCTCATAAGAGCTATGACTTTCATGTAGCCTAATCTTGGTCATGAATTTTGTACAGTTGGTTTAAGGATATGAATATTTTTTTGACATTTTCACATTGACCTTTGCGTTTTACTCACTTAAAAAAACTTAAACCTTGGTCATTATATAAAAAAGTAATATTTTCTCTTTAACAACGACTGTGGACTGTCGTGGACAGACCGCAAATAATATCCCCCACTTTCAGCGAAAGGGGCGGGGGCAGAAATCAATATCACCCACTTTAAACGAGGGAAAAAAGTAATTAAAATTTTTAATATTTTTCATACATTACGAAGATATGAGGAATATATCGTCTGAACTTAAAAAATGCACATTTTGGAGCAGAGGAAACAGGGACCTCTAAAACATCAGAGGTGGGATCAGGTGTCATGGAGGAGTGTGCATCCCCTGCCGACCGTCATACCCGCCGTGTGCTCCTTAAATTGTTATGATCGGGAAATAATGGTAAAATACGACACCTCAATTGTGTAAAAAATGGTCTAATAATTAGTAAGAAAAACATCAGTTTAACTTTGTAAAATACATCACTTGTGAATAGTATATAAGTTATGTGATAATAGAACAGCTAGCTATGGCATGCCAAGTTCACAAAAATGAGCTAAACATAGTTTCACAGTCGATAAACTAGGTTTATCGGTTGTAAACTATAGTTTACGGACTGTCAACTAAAGTTAACAACGTTAATCTTTATTTTACATCTGTAAACCATAGTTTACGCAATAATCTATGTTTCAGAACAGTAAACTATACTTAACATTGAAAACAATCATTTGCCATTGAAAAACATAGATTATCTGATAAATACAGTTTCACGATTTGTAAACTGTAGTTTACCAGTCTTAACTATAGTTAACGATCTGATAGATATAGTTTCACAATTCTTGAAACTATGATTAACAACTCTTATAGTTCACGATTGTAAATTATAGTTCACAGACGTGAATCTATGTTTATCAACAAAATCTATTGTTAACGTTTTATTAGAGAGATACATATGGCACGCCAAATTCACAAAAATGAGCTAAACATAGTTTCACAGTCGATAAACTAGGTTTATCGGTTGTAAACTATAGTTTACGGACTGTAAACTATAGTTAACAACGTTAATCTATATTTTACATCTGTAAACCATAGTTAACGCGATAATCTATGTTTCACAACCGTATACTATACTTAACACTGAAAACAATCATTTGCGATTGCAAAACATAGATTATCTGATAAATACAGTTTCACGTTTGTGAAACTATAGTTTACAAACCGTTAACTATAGTTAACGATCTGATATATATAGTTTCACGATTTGTGAAACTATGATTAACAACTCTTAACTATAGTTTACGATTGTAAACTATAGTTTACAAACGTGAATCTATGTTTATCAACAAAAACTATTGTTAACGCTTATTACAGACAGATAAACTTAGATTATCATTCGTAAATTATAGTTAACAACCGTTGAATATAGTTTTACAGATGAAAACTACATGTATACTTAACGAATCGTTAACTAAACTTAACGAATCGTTAACTATAGTTTACGGTTTGTAAACTATAGTTTACAGTCGATAAACCTAGTTTATCAAATGTGAAACTAGGTTTATCTCATTTTTGTGAATTTGGCGTGCCATAGATACGCTTAGATAAGCATTCGTAAACAATAGTTAACAACCGTTAGATATAGTTTTACAGATGAAAACTATCGTTAACGAATCGTTACTATAGTTTACAGTCGATAAACCTAGTTTACCTAGTTTATCTACTGTGAAACTATGTTTAGCTCACTGATTTTGTGAATTTCGCGTGCCTTAGCTATCTATATAAAAAATTCAGTTTTAAAAAGTTCCCGTTTTCTGCATGTAAGCCTTATCATTGATGCGTGTATTTTAGAGAGAAAGTGAAACGAAATTGAGAAATTTAAGGTAAGGGAAATTTATTCTCTTAAAATTTGAATCAATTCCGATCGAAATTTCAATATAGTTATAATTATAGTACATGTATATCATTACTGACACGCGTTATCTTTATAGGCTGATTCCCAGGTGAAGATGCTTTCATTGCTTTGACAAGTGTTGAACTTTTTGATTGAATGCTGGGACCTAATTAAAGTTTCTTGAAGCTTTGTCATTATAAACGGCCACTTTGTCATTTCGTGTAATAAATTTTATATTTATCTCCATCTAGTGAATTCAGAATCTACAAAATGATAATCATATAATATTTTAAAATTGTTATTCATATACGATTACAGGTTCATTATTGATGGTTCTTCATTGCATCCCGTTTACTCTTGGACGTCGCGACCTTTGTAGGAGAATCTCTAATCTGATACAGATTTCGCATATCAATTCTTAACGAGCATTTTTTTTTCATATATATATAAGGAAGAGGGTCCGTTTAAGAAAAATTGATTCAAGGATAGAGCACTGCACAACATAAGTAGGTTAAGATACCATAAGGAATTATGAAGACCACAGGTTCGTAGATATTTAAAAACTATAATATATATTTTATTTTTTTCTTCATAATTTCAAATTGTGAAAGGCTCTAGATATTTTAAAACAATAGATATATATTTTCTCCATAATTTCAAATTATGAAAATAATTATTTAATTACCATCCAATAAAAAAAAATAGTTATAACCATGGGGTTACTCTTTTTCATTCCAAGAAGAAACTACCTAAATAAACGAAAAGACCTTGCGATGATTCGTTTTAAAGTTCTGTGCTCAATGTGATATGCGAGTAGTGGATTTGTGGGACTTAATCAATTTAATATATTTATAAATTGAGATCTAAATTTATTTCGATTTTAAAATTGTATGCAATACTGAAAGCTGGCAGAAATAGACAAACTCTTATTCTAGAACAATGCCATTTCCTTTATATCAACCGTACTTACCATAAAGTCTGTGACAGTGTACGATCTCTATACAACTATTTTCCAATGTTTAACTTGTCCATATTGGCCTCGCCCTATAACGCCTGGGATTATGCTTTGATCAAACTTGAATCTAGACTACCTGACATATACATGTATTCCATATAGATATGAATGAATATGGCTTTGCAGTTCTTAAGACGTTCTTTTAATTAAAATTTTGTCTTTATACGTGTTTTTCCATTTCCTTGATCATAACAAGGAGCACATGGCATATGTAACTTTTTGACAGGGCATAATTGCTCCACCATGGCACCTGATCCCGCCTCTGATGTTTTTGAGTTCTGTTTGCTCCAAAATTTACCTTTACCTTTATATATATATTTCATCCCTATATATTTCAAAGTAGACCCATTATCAAAAAAAATATTAAATTATGCATATACATGTATTAAACTTTGATAATCAAATGTGACCCTATCCTACCCCAAGGGTTCTTCATTAAAATAAAACTTAAATCTTCACTACCTGACGATATTTTGTCATAGCGATACTGATTTCCTTCTTTCTTTTCCTATATGTAAAATAGAGCCCCTATTTTGTGCCCATCCTAAACTCGGCGGTTATGGTCTGAACAAACTGAATGCAAACTACATGAGGATGATTCCTTGTATACCCATGCAAAACTTTGATCATCTATAGTTATGTCCCACCCGGCAATCCGGGGGGGGGGGTAGCTGAAAGCTGCTTTTTTTTTTATAGTTTCATATTTTCTCTCTCAGTGGTGTTAAGAAGATGATTCTAAAAATATGCCATCAGATTGCACAAATTCTTACCGTAATTATATATATATCTCCTTTGAAAGTGGGAGTGGCCGTTCATTTGAACAAAGGACAAGGTATGGCAACATCCGAATCTAGCCCCTTATTTGATGTAAAAATCAGAACACAGTTAAAATTGTGATAGTTTGTAGTTAAGGACTTAAAATGATGTTTGTTTTAAAACCAGCACTAATTTTGATTTAATGCTTACACGGAGGCCACAAGAGGGTGCAGAAGTGGGACATTTTCTTGAATTTCCTCAATTCTTATAATTTTTCGTCAAATTTGAGATATTTTCACATCGGGAAACATAGAGCACAAGTTTGCCTGTCTGAGATTTTTATACACAAAATGCATCTTATACTTTTGTATGAAATATATAAATTTGGTGGATAGGAAAGATTGTGTTCTATGTTTTCTGAAACAAAATGTGCTGTAAAATTGACTAAAACATGCATAAAAATGAGAAATTTCGGAAAATGACATACTTTCTGAGCTTCCTGTGACCTCTGTGTATCCCTTAGAACCAATACTCATTTTGTGCAGGGGTGGCAACAGGTTTCTATTGATAAACTTTTGCATCAATCCAAAAGACACCTCAAACCATGGCCCAAAAAGGGTCTTACCCTATCTTGTCCATTAAATCACCTCTTGCCAAGGATATTTTTTGGCATGTTTGGTTGGTATTGGTCCAGTAATTCTTGAGAAGTCGAAAATGCAAACAGTTTAGAGATGGACGGACGCCAGACAAAATGTGAATAGAAAAGCACATTTAGCTTTCAGGTCAGGCGAGCTTAAAAGAGTGCAGCTGTTTTGTTTCAAGTACTTGTAAAATGCCACGAAAAATAAAACTTCTGTATCAGCTTGGTCCAGTGGCATGAGTGGTGAAATATATATATCAACTGGTCAATGTCACAAATGTCAAGGAAAAAGTCAAATTCGATTTTTTTTCTAGCACCACATTTTTTGAAGATTACAATTTTCAAAAAAAAAATTCATTTTCAAGATAATAAACATGATACAAAGAAGAGAAATGGCGAGGCAACAATAGCGGCTCAATACGCACAAGAGATGCGAGAGAAGGGGGAACAGATCACAGACCAGGTAAAGGAATACCGCATTTCAATAACTTTAGGATATTAAAAAAAACTATAATCAATAAGTGAAGTTCGGTGACAAAGATTACATAAAAATTGACAATTAACGATACAATATTTTTTTCCAGTCCCTTGAAAGCACAAGAAGAATGGCAAAAATCTTGCATGAGG